CCAGGCATCCCCAAAGTCGGTCCTCGAGAGCCGCTGTCCTGCAGGTTTTAGAGGTTTCTCTGCTTTAGCACAGCTGATTCTGATGATTGCAGTTCAGCAAAAGCCTGATAATCAACTATCAATGTAAAGCAGCTATGCTGGAGCACGGAAACCTCTAAAACCTGCAGGACAGCGGCCCTCAAGGACCGACTTTGGGGATGCCTGGTCTAAGCTTTCCATTAAGATTCAATGTCTGACGCCCTGTTAGTTAATGTTGACATTCATGGCTGAATAATTATAAATAGACAGAAGAGGTTTATCTAGTTGGGAAGGGTTTCAACAAAATCCTTCCCCCCCCAAAATGATATATGTCAGCACACATGGTTTGCAAATTTGCAAAAAATATATCTGCAACAATGCTATTTGTGCAGATGAAAAAATGTATATATATATTAGGTTGAGCTGTAACAAATCATATCCCTTGAATACCACTTTGGTATGTTGAGAATTGTGGTGAAGGGATGATCAGAGAACTTGTATGAGCTGCTTTGTATACAAAAATATTCAAGAGTCAAATGAGGCCAATGGTGATGTGAGTCACCAATTAAGTCATGCAAAAGTGATTTAAATCTACTCTAGATGGTTTAACAAGCGTCTGAATCCTTTGAGTGGGGAAATTTTGTGTAATAACAATGCAGAGTCTGTGGCGTGTAATTTGTCTTGCCTTGGGTTATCGTTAAATAGTTTTAAAACCTGGTTAGAAGACAATGGTTAATTTCTGTTATAACCTTGTATATAGAACCCTGGAGGTACTACTGTGAATTATTATTCTATTGGGCACTGTGAATGGATGTTTGAAATCCCAGAGATTTAATTTATTTAATTAATTCCTTGTTTTAACTTAATCAGTTATTGGTCGACAGTCGACCTTTTTGCTATTAGACTAATAAAGAGTAGACCAGATGCACGCACACTGGTGAATTAACAAACCGAAAGCTTTGTTATCACTAGCTGTCTTCACTGCACACTTGACTCACCACTGTTTTTAGGAAACACTGAACCTAACCAGTAAACAAGTGCTTCCTCCCAGGATCAGAGCTCACTACTGGCACTGATGTCATTCTGTTGTGAACAGGCCTAATCTGAAACTATCTGTTTTGGCTATTAATCAGCGAACACATGAACATGTCAAAAGCTGCAGACAAACAGAAAGAGAGCGTTGGCATAATCTTCTGTTACTGACAAATCTGAGTCAGTTCTTTCAGGGAATAGGAACAATACTCACTGAGGATCAAAGTGATTGTCTCAAACATTAAAAGAAAGATCTACCTGGGAAAAATGTCATGCATCACATCACTAACCACTATTATTTGAAATAATATCCTTAACAGCCCAATTAACTAAAAATGCCAGCATAGACCTAAAAAGTAAGATTAGTTTGCAATGTTTTCACTAAAATAACGTTGTGTATGTCTTGTGCTGTTTTATTACCTAGAGAAGTATATACAGCTGCTGGAGATGTCAAAGCCAAATGCATAAACAGGATGCATGGTTATTGGAGCGTGCTACACTGTATGTGTAAAATGCATTACAAGATTTCAGTGCTGTGAAAAGCCCTCCATAAAAAATCTGTGGAGCTAAATTGTCTATTTGAAAGGACATCTTTCAGGTACAGTAAATATGCTTAAAGTTTGGGTAAATATTTAATCCTCGAATAAAGTCTCTGGGAGTCCACAGCATGAGTTGAAAATCAAATGATGTTTGCCTTAATGGAGGACATCAATAATTTCAAAGTTTTTTTTTTAGAGTAGTGTTTTCAAAAATATGAGATGAAGACAAGCTTATGTTTCGGGTGGGATGTGGTTAGACATTCATTTAAACTAAATTCACTTCAGTTTCGATATTTGCGAAATACAGAATTTGCATTTAGTTTTATAACTTACCCTGCAGTGGTATGTCGATTTAGATGCTTTCCATGTAAAGTTCAGTCTGCTCTTCTAATTGATCAGCTGACAATAGGGTGACCATATTTTCATTTGGGAAAACCAGGACACCTTGTAGCGGGGTTGGGGGTGGGGGGGGGGGATTGATTGAAAGAACAAATGTCTCATCAGAGGGATTTGCTCCGTGATCAGAGGAAATGTTACTTGCCGAACAGTGGTGAAAATTGGAAGTTCAGTTTAATATAATACAACTCAGTGAATAGTTCCGTCTGAAATGAATGAAAATTGTTGTTTTAATGGTTATAGAGTCAGATATGTGGCGGTAATGTTTGATTTATCTAAAGGTTTTTATCTGTTACTGTGTAAATTAGTTTGGCTGTAATTTAAGGACAGATTCTAATAGATCTGCAGAATGGGAACTATAAATCTGATAGGATTTTAATTTTTTTATTGTTGTTTTGCACAATATGCTTAACTAAGTATTTTTTGTTGTTGAATATTAGAGATTTTGCAGATATATTTTGTAGATACATTGTTTAGATTTACTTATGTATTTCTAACCCTTTTATAGAATAGAATAGAAAATTCCTTTATTGTCCCACAATGGGCAAATTTACAGAAGCAGAAAGATTATTGAAAATGGTCACACAAATGAGGACCTTAGAAAAATGTATAAGAATAACATAATAGGGAAGAATTAAAATATAAACAATACAATTCTGTAAAGTGTTTTAACAATATAAAACTGGAGAATTAATAACCAATATGCAGCTATGGACATTTTTACAGTAATGGATATTTGAAAATAGCAGCAACATCAGAGATGTGCAGAAAGACAGCAGCAGGTTATTTAACTGACTAAGGTTTCTATCATTACATTTGATTTTATTTGTTCCTGCTCCCGGTGGTTGGAATCTTTATTCCACTCTGGATTCTTGTGAGTGTAGTCTTTGTTCACTTTAACTTTAAAAAAAAATAAATAAATAAACAAACAGTTTTGAAAACCTCGTATTCATTCTTTTCCTGCTTTGTGTGTCAACTTTCACGGTTGCTAAGCAACAGAGCATACGGCTATAAAACCCGCCGAAGGGTGGACCTGTTCGAATTTACAGCCAAAACTCTTCCGGTCTCCTTATTTTCAAGGACTTCGAAGGATTCAATCTAGGCAGACCGCGTCCTTGGAGGATGCAGCCCAGGATTTCGAACAGAACCTCTGATTAAGAGCAGGGCTGCCCACACTGACGCGGCTCAGGGATTACGTCACACGGAGCGTCGTGCGCAGTGAAATCAGGACATTTCCTCACTTTCTAAAAAAAACCCGGGATGCCCGGGACAGGACGTGAAATACGGATATGTCCCGGGAAATACGGACGTTTGGTCACCCTAGCTGACAATTCATCTATATAGCGTGAATAATTAAAGGGCTTGCAAAAGTATCTGTAGCATTTTGATTATTTTCTATAAATTTATCTTTAACAGGGATTTTATGTGGCAGAGCAACACTAGGTAATGAGTAAATGGTTTTGGGAAGGAGAAAATCTAAAAAACTCTCTTCTGTATATTCATTCCTGTATCAATACCTGTAGAAAAACATTTTTTTTTTTGCTTGGAGATTTCAAAGACCTCTGAAATAACCATTTCTCACAACTTTATTAAAAGTTTAAGCTTGTGACCTGAAGCCACAAAGTCTAAATACTGTTATGTTGCTTCACTCCACCAGATCTTTGTCCCTTTAAGTGCACCTTGGGAGTGCCAGAAATTTTTGGATCTCGGTCAGCAGATTTTCCCACATGAACAGAGCATCCCTGAAGCTTTGTTCAGGATACCTTTGAATTTTTTTGCAGGTCCTTTGATCATTACTACTGATAGAAAGTTCAGAAAGAAAATGGTTGTGCAAGAAAAAGTAACGCAGCAACACCACAAACCACACTGTTACGAACTGTGAATCCAAGCCCATATATTAGTTTGGACAAAGGTCACAAGCTTAAGCCCAACAAAGACCTTAAACACAAGCTTGTCTGTTTATACCTCAGCAGTGCCATTGTCTGATCAAATGTATTTTTCATTTGACGGATTGTTGTAATATAATCTTCTGATCACATCTGTTTCGAAAACTAACCAGAAACCCAAATCTTACACCCCAATTTAAACTCATGCCTTTAAAAAAAATAAATTACCTAAATTCCTCCACAGTCGCTACTATTAAACCAATATTTACTATTACTATTAGTCAAAATTGAAGCCCAGATGAGAAAACAGTGATGTTATATGACTGGCTCATGCCTTAGTTGTACAAATATTGTAGATTATTTATTTTACTTCACCAGATTTTAATTCAGGATGTCAGTTACAAGTTCATCTGATGGCTGGCATCTGATCATGCACATGCATTTTTGCAGGAGAAATAACATCGGTATTATGTTTAATGAAACCTCTGCGTAGAAAAAAAACAATAGCGCTGGCACATTTCACAGACACAACGTACATCTAAGAAGGTAACACTGCAACTCCCGCTGAGTACACAAGGTTGTCTGCCAACAATAACAGATGGCTGTTGTAGTGGCAATTGTTTGTCAAACCAAACATCCAATTAAGTTCCAATAAGCCACTATAGGCACTGGGGTCACGTTTTCTTGACGCAGGCAAAAGAAGTGGAAGTCCAAACTTGTAGATGTTTAGTTGATTTATTTCCTATATTTTGTCACATTACAGAGTTCAAACTTTCCTTGCCCTGTTACCTCTCTTGCACTGGTAAAAACCCATAGGCCCCTAACCCAAATGCCTGCTGGTCCTTACCAGGCTCCTACAATTATAGAAAGTGGACCGCCCACATTTCTTCCTGTTTTACATAAAATAAAGAAAAATAATAAAACAACAAAAAATAGATGCACAAAAATGCAACAATTAACCTATAAATTAAGTCTGTAAATAATACAAAAAATATATAAGTTTAGGAATTAACACAATTCAAATAAATAAAGAAATAAAGAATAAATAGCTCCAACACTCCGGCCCCTAATTGTGAATACTGTCACAATTACAAATGAAGAAAAAGGAGCTATTCCCTCAAACATGTCCTTAATTCTTCAGGTTGATGCTTCCAGTAGCAAAACAAGTTTGGTCACGGGTCTTTCGAGAACGCTGGTCTTTGTTTGTAATCGCACAGAGCGCACCAAGCCTTTTACATCCTGGTTTACGCTCAGGACCTTGGCCATCATCCATGTTCCTCTTGGAGCTGTAGAGTCTGCAATTAAGACAACATCTCCAGGAGTGAGACATCGTTTAGTTCTTGTCCATTTTTGTCTTTCCTGCATCAGAGGTAAGTACTCAGAAAGCCATCTTTTCCAGAACAGCTCTGCCATGTATTGCACCTGTTTCCACCTTTTCCTGACAAAAAGATCCTTTTGATTGAACAATCCTGGTGGCAAAACTGGTTTGGTTTTTAACAACAACAAATGGTTGGGTGTTAGTGCCTCAAGATCATTTGAGTCATCGGAAACTTTAGTGATGGGTCTGTCGTTTAATATGGCTTCAACTTCACAAAAAATTGTTTGAAGCCCTTCATCATCCAAAACTTGCTCTTTAAGAACTGAAACCAAAATACTTCTTATGGAACGAATCAGACGCTCCCAAACTCAACCTTGGTGAGATGCTGCTGGGATGTTAAAGTTCCATTTAATTCCATCCTGCACAAAAGCATTTTGAATTTTAGCATGATTCAGTTCAGCTAAACTCTCTTTCAGCTCTCGATTTGCACCAACAAAATTTGTGGCATTGTCAGATCTGATGGTGGAAACTGGGCCTCTTCTACAGATGAACCTGCGGACTGCATTTATACAGGAATCTGTATCGAGGGTGTAGGCCATTTCCAGATGCACTGCACGGCTGGTGAAACAAGTGAACAGAACTCCATACCTTTTCAGGAGGCTTCGTCCTCTTTTAACACTTACAGGACCAAAGTAATCCACTCCAACATTTGTAAAAGGAGCGGTGGCTGGCAGGACTCTCTCTTCTGGCAGATCTGCCATCTTTTGTTCAATAAACTTTCCTCTGTTACACCTGCAAACAACACAGTGAGAAATGATTTTTCTGGCAGCTGAATTAGCATTTATTATCCAGTATTTTTGTCTTAATCTTGACAGCATATGAGCTCTTCCTGCATGTCCCAACTGTTGATGAATATGGCGTAAAATCAGTGTAGACACATGCATATCCTTTGTCAAAATTGCAGGATGCTTTGTTTCGACAGGCATGGCTGATTTATTCAACCTGCCACCCACTCTGAGGACTCCAGCATCCAATACTGGGTCGAGTTTGTATAAAGAACTTCTCTTAGAGACTGCTTTAAGGCCCCTGGTGATTAAAGCCAGTTCAGTTGTAAATTTCTGTTGTTGTGCAAACTGAATAATGGCTAGTTCTGCCTTGGCCAAGTCTTCAGGAGTCAGATTTTCTGTCTTCAGAGTGGTCTTGAATCTTTCTATCTGCTTGTCTAGGGCTTTGTTTTGCTTTTCTGGTTCATTTTTATTTATGTCTGCAGCAGCAAACTCCTTCCTTTTCTGTTGCAACAGCATCAGAATGTTTTTCAGCTTTAAAAACCAAGCAACAGAGGTTTTAAGCTTTGTCCAAGATGAAAAATAATGAATCAGATAGCTTGTAGGATTTTGTGACTCCTTCACAAGAACACTCACGGCTAGGTCCCTTTTGACCTCTGGGTCATCTGCAGGAATTGCATGGTGATCCACATCCAGTTTAGGCCATTCCTCTTCTGATCTGTGGAGAAATTCAGGCCCATTTATCCATCTCCTGCATTTAATGAACTCCTCAGCTCTCATGCCTCTGGATGCATCATCTGCAGGATTTTCCTTGGAGGAAACATATCTCCACTGATTCACATCTGTTGCTTCTCGGATGACAGAGATCCTGTTTGCAACAAAGGTGTGAAATCTTCTGGTTTCACTGGAGATATATTTTAGTACTGTTGTACTATCAGTCCAGAAAACAGGTTTTTCCAATTGTATTTGCAGCTCCTTTTGCAGCAGTTTATTGACTCGGACAGCAAGAACAGCAGCGGTCAGTTCCAACCTGGGGATTGTTGTTTGCTTCATAGGAGCAACTCTTGCTTTTCCTAGAATGAAAGCAACATGTGAGATGTTATTCTTTTCCAGTTTTAAATATGACACTGTTCCATAGCCGTCTTGACTTGCGTCAGAGAAATGATGAAGTTGTGCTTTGTCTGGTTTCCTGATGCAGCTTGGTTTGATGCAACGATCCACCTTAAAACTGGAGATCAGCTGGAGGTCCTCCAGCCAGTCGAGCCACTTCCTACAAAGAGAATGGGGAATAACTTCATCCCACTTCAAGTTTTGTCGACAAAGTTCTTGTAGCAGCAGTTTAGCTGGCATACTGAAGGGAGCTAGGATTCCCAAGGGATCATATAGTGAACTAACCACAGACAAAATGCCCCTTCTGGTCTGTGGGCGGTCCTGCACAGAGGTTCTGAACTTGAACTCATCTGTTTCAATGCTCCACTGTAAACCCAGTACTCTCTCGACCGGAAGTTCATCTGTGTCCAAATCCAGATTCTTAATTTCTTTTGCTCTCCTTTCCTCTGGAATGGACATGAGCACTGTGCGACTGTTGCTTACCCATTTTGAGAGCACAAATCCTCCCTTAGAGCAGAGGTCCGTCAGCCTCTTCACCATGTGAATTGCATCTTCTTCTGTGGGAACAGATTTTAAACAGTCATCCACATAAAAGTTATTTTTGATAGTATCAACCACTTCAGCTGGAAACTGTTGTGCGTTATCATCAGCAGTTCTTTGCAGAGCATAATTTGCACAGCTGGGTGAAGACACTGCTCCAAACAAATGAACCAACATCCTGAACTCCTGTGCAGGTTTTGATGTGTCACCATGATGCCACCACAGGAAACGAAGGAAGTTGACATGTTTTTCAGAGACACAAACTTGGTGAAACATGGCATTAATGTCAGCCATTAGTGTAACAGGCTCCTTTCTAAATCTAATGAGAACTCCAACCAGAGAGTTTGTGAGGTCAGGTCCCTGTAAAAGCTGACTGTTCAGTGATGCTCCTTTGTAGGTTGATCCACAATCAAATACAACTCTCAACTTTCCTTTTGTGGGATGATGCACTCCATGATGAGGAATGTACCACAGTTGTCCATTACCTTTCTGTAGGTCCTCTGCTGGTACAGCCTCAGCATGTCCTTGCTGCAGCATGTTGTTTACACATGCAGTGTATTCCTCCTTGTACTCAGCATCCTTTTCAAATCTCCTTCTGAGGCTCTGGAGGCGCTGCTCTGCAACACAGATGTTATTTGGAAAGCAGGGGCTTTCACTCCTGAAAGGTAAGTCAATATTATAATGGCCTTTAATAAGTTTTGTAGAGTTATTGACAATGTTCATGAAATGCAAATCCTCTCTAGACATTTCAGTTTTCTCCTCTGATGATCTTTCGTTAAACTCATGATTGTACTGTTTGATCAGCATTTCTTCAAGATGCTCAACAGAGATCCTGTTGGCTGTCACAGCAGTGCAAACATTTCTATTTTTGCTGTGGCTTCTAGTGTGCAGGGGACCATTTATGACCCAGCCAACTTTAGTTTTTACAGCATAAGGCCCACCATCTACACTGTTGATCACCTCCCAGGGCTCTAAAACATTTGAAGCATCAGTTCCTATCAGTAGTTCCACATCTGCATTGATGCTATGAAGCTTAACAGGTTTAAGATGAGGCCACTGATCAATGTCCTTTTGCTGGGGAATATTCAATGTAGAAACTGGCATGGTACTTTGAGTCAAAACATCTGGTAGCTCTATGAAATCATTTGTTTCCAATTCAGAGATTTCCAAACCAGACAAAACTTGTACATTAACAATCTTATTTTGACTCATTGTTCTCAGCATAATATTTGTTCTTTTGCCCTTTATGTTCAGACTTTTTGCCAGAGTTTCTGTACAGAACGTACCTGAACTTCCTGGATCAAGAAATGCATAAGTTTGCACAACTTTGTTGCTCTTTTGACTTTTAACTTTAACTGCAACAATAGAAAAAACAGCATTATCATCATGACCAGCCCCAATATGCCCACACGTCTGGGTGGTTGCAGTTGAGAAGTTGACATGAGACCTTGTTGTCTGTTGGATTTGTTCTGAAGAGGCTCCTGGCTCCTTTTGCTCTATGTGAAGAACCCCCGGATGCTTTTGGTGACACACATTGCAATCCAAACGACTCCTGCAGTCTTTGCTTGTGTGACCAACTTTCAGACAACTGAAACAAATCCCCTTTTGTTTAATGAAAGTCAACTTGTCCCGATGCATTTTAGCTTTAAACTGCACACAGTTTTCCAGTAGATGATTTCTTTGTAAACAAAACAAGCAGCTGTGAAGAACAGTAGACTTGGTCCTGTTTTCAGTTGAGTGAGTTCTGGCTTCTGGAATTGTGCTGACATTAGTGGCAAAACTGCTTCCCTTTTTTCTTTGCTTGCTGTAACTTGGAACTTTGGAGTTGTTCCCTGTTGGTGGGTCTTGGATATTGCCAAACACTGGATCTGATGCTACTTTTACTTCCTTTGTTATGAAAGCAACCAGATCAGTAAACAATGCTCGGTGACCAGTTTGCTCCTGTAGCTCATAAGCAGTAACTCTCCATTTTTCCCTCAGTTTATATGGAAGTTTCAGGACAATTGTTCTCATATTTGAAGGTAAATCCAACTCCTTCATGTAAACAATTTGTTGTGTCAGATTTGAACAACCTTGAAGAAAAAGAGAGAATGATTGTAGACTTTTCACATCATCCCCTTTTATTGGTGTCCAACTCATAATCTTCTCCATATACGCAGAAGTTATTTTATTTTCATTTCCAAAATGTTCTTCAAGAAGATATTTGGCTTTGGAATAACCTTCCTCAGAAGCTAAGTGTTGACAACTATGCACGAGATCTTTAGGCTGCCCCCTGGTGAACTGCTCTAGGAAGTGCAAACAGTCTCTGCAGTTGTCAGTTTTAGCCTCCACTCCGTTCTCAAAGGCATTCATAAATGATCTGTACTGTAGGGGGTCCCCATCAAACACAAGGATGTTTCTGGATGGGAGAACAGACGATAAGTTTTGTTTTACTAGTAAGGCTGCAATGTCATTTTGTCTTTGCATGATGTTCACAATATCATTCTGACAGTTCTCAGTCAAAGGAGGAGATTGAAATTGCGTCTGCTCTGTTGCTTGAGTTGAAGAATCAACTTTAACTCTCATCTGATCCATTTGAAGTTGTCTCTCTCCTTGTTTAAGTCTGACAACAGGGAAGTTGGATGAAGACTTTTCTTTTTCTTTCAGAACAAACTCATCAGCGAGAGGATTTAGCAGGGGCGTGTGCTTTCCTTGGGCTCTTTCAAAATAAGAGTTCATCCCATCAGATTGTTTAGAACTAGCAACTGAATTTATTTTTAATACATTAAGTTTTGCGTTAGTTGCTGCCAACTCTGTTTCCAGGTCTAACTTTTCCTTTTCTTTTCTCAGGTTTTCCTCTTGAGCTTCGATCAGATGTTTTCTGTCCAACGCGGCGAGTCTCTCCATCAGCGCTGCCTTTTCAGCCGCAGCTTTAATGCGTGCAGAAGAGGTGGATGAAGCCCGAGACTGCTGTGAAGATGTTTTTGAACGTGGCTTTATGCTTGTAATATTAGAAACACTGTCTTCAGGATTTATTTCATCAGGATCTTCAACAACCTGATCATCAACATAGTTTTTCTGTTCCATATATGGATCTCCTGCTTCTGTCAACCAAACCTTTATATTGTCCACAAAATCAGAGAAAGTCGTCACCTTAGACTGAAAATACACAGTTTGTCTTTTTACTTCTTCATCTGGCAACGGCAAACCTAAAAGTGATTCGTGTAAATCAGTTGCTTCTTGATAGCATTTAATAAACTTTGCAAAGTCAGAAGCCACTTTCTTAACATTTTCTTGTGAGCTCATTAATGCAGAGATTTTCTCCATACGTTTTGAAGCTTGTTTACACTTTAAACTTCGTTTTTCTTGACATGTTTTTATATAAAACTCCAAACCCTTTTGTGTAAATTTGATGGTTCTTTTGTTTTGTGACGTCTGGGTGTCATCCTCTTTGCTCTTTACATCAGACATTTTTGCAGATTCTTTGAATCATTTCAAACATTTAAAGCATCTTAGTCCACGAATAATCCACAAGGAAAAGCACAAACGTATCTCTTTGTTTAAAGAGATTGATTCTTGTGAACAAACATTTCCATGTTGGGCGTCGGCTCACGGCTTGATCCAATTACGCATCAATTTGTCACATCAGACTCATCTCATCAGTCTTTGGAGTGAAATAATGTCTTTAAACTCCAGTAGTTTCACTATTTTCCTTTATAGCTTGAACAATATTGTCACATACCAGCTTGATGAATGAGTGACGTGTCCATCCAAGTCTGACGCATCAAGTCGCTTGATTTAATCAAAGATGATCCAAAACCTTTTGTTTGAAGGGAATCCTTGAGATCCATAAATCCAGCATGTTGATTGATGAGGTATTCCTTTTAGTCCATGGGCTGGTTCCTTACTTGTTCCACAGGGTGTTTTTACTTGATCCACAGGTGGGTTTTTACTTGGCTGTAGTGGCAATTGTTTGTCAAACCAAACATCCAATTAAGTTCCAATAAGCCACTATAGGCACTGGGGTCACGTTTTCTTGACGCAGGCAAAAGAAGTGGAAGTCCAAACTTGTAGATGTTTAGTTGATTTATTTCCTATATTTTGTCACATTACAGAGTTCAAACTTTCCTTGCCCTGTTACCTCTCTTGCACTGGTAAAAACCCATAGGCCCCTAACCCAAATGCCTGCTGGTCCTTACCAGGCTCCTACAATTATAGAAAGTGGACCGCCCACATTTCTTCCTGTTTTACATAAAATAAAGAAAAATAATAAAACAACAAAAAATAGATGCACAAAAATGCAACAATTAACCTATAAATTAAGTCTGTAAATAATACAAAAAATATATAAGTTTAGGAATTAACACAATTCAAATAAATAAAGAAATAAAGAATAAATAGCTCCAACAGCTGTGTTGAAATAAAAAAAGACTTTATGCCCGACCACCTTGTTTTTGCTCCAGTTTGAAAAGGACCACCGTGGTGCTTCAGTCCTCCAGACATTCCAAACTCTTCAAGTGTTACTTATCAAATCCCTACAGGTGCTCTCTGATGAGATAGGTTTTATGCTTTTCTGTTAAAGCCGTGTGTTTCCATTTGACGGAAACAGAAATATGGCACGGACAGAGTTGGAAAAGCCTTGTCGTTGATGTGCGAAAGGGGAAATACCTTGACAATGGAGGTTTGTTTGGATAGCATGAAAAAAATTCCTTCCATTTCCTGAAACAAAAGGATAAAAGACTTCTCACCTCCGGGTGGATGGAAACAAGTTTGTTAGTATCACACCTTACTTTATCAAAACAGCTTTAAGAGTTCTTATGACAAGAGCTGCACATAATAGCATTTTTGAAAAAGAATAGCAGATATAATGTCAAGGCCCATACTGATATTCAAAACTTTGCTATGTGTTGTAAAACTGTCCATTGTTATGTCCATTTTTTTCATCTGTATTGTATATGATAAAAAAACACATGGTACAATATTGTTATAATGTTATAACTTTATGCTTTCACAAATAAAAATGAAACATTTACTTTGCAAAACATCAAGTAAAGCCACAATAGACAACTGATATTGCTTTTTAGAAAGGTTTTCTCAAATATGATAGGGGTCTCCAACCCTGATCCAATATATCTAGTGTCCTGCAGAGTTTAGATGCTTCCCTGCCCCAACATAACTCGTTAAATAAGTAAAATAGCATGCCATCAAGTTTGGCAAATGTCTGGTAATGAGCCATTTTTGATTCAGTTTGATTCAGCTGTGTTGTTGCAGCGATGCATCTAAAACCTGCAGGACAGTAGATATTGAGGATCAGGTTATGGAGACCCCTGGAAAGTAAAACAGGTCAGTAATAAAGTTTTAGACAACAGAAGGCTTAGAATATGAAACTTTGAAAATGGCATCCAAAGTTTTAATCTTTCACAGAAAATTATTCAGCTTTGCTTACTTTGTGTAGCAGTGAACTAAATCTGCATATCAGCCTGAAAAGTCACTCACTATGGTGAAACACAACGGTGTCAGCATCATGCTACGGGAATACTTCTTTTAAGCAGGCACAGGAAAGCTGATTGGCGCTGAAGGGAAGCTATATGTAGCTAAATACAAGGCAATGCTAGCAAACAAGTACAAAGAGACTCTAAAGGACTTGAGACTAAGGCCCCGTCCACACGAAGTCAAAACGAACACGAAACGCTGATATTTTCCAAAACGTTTGTCGTAAAGACGGAGACGTAAAATAAATGTGATCGTCCACACGAATGCATGAAAACGCTGCAAAATGTATGCCAGGCCTGTAAGTGGCGCTGTGGTACCAAAGCAAAAATAAGCGACGAAATGTTGGGCATGCGCACTAATATTTATACATGGTTGCCCTGCGGGTCCATTTTCATGGTTAAGTCAAATTCAGGTGCTGAACTATGTCGTCGATATTGCTCTGTTCTTCCTGGAGATATTCCAGAAGAAGATTCTGTTGTAAGCCCGACAGCAGGGTGAGTAGCATTAGCAGCAACCATTCAACACAGTACGGCGCCATTGTTGTTGTGATACTGTGTCGCGCATGCGTGTTTAGAGGCGACGCTATGACGCATGCGTGTAAAAAAAAAATGCGGTTAGAGCTTAAAGATGGAAATGCAAAAACGGCGTTTCAGAATCTTCCCACTCTGAAGGCTGAATAAAAAAAAGATCGTTTACAGACCCCCGAAACGCCGGCTTCGTGTGGATGAGAGGCTGGTTTGGTGAAAAATTTGTGCGTTTAGGCCAGGGTTCGGCTTCGTGTGGACGGGGCCTTAGATAGAAATACAACATCCAGTTGGATGACTGTAAACAGGAGCCAAAAGAACAAGGTTTAGATCAGAGAATATTTAGTCAAGTAAAAAGTCCAGAGTTAAATTCACAAAAATACATGATGTTCACAGATGCTCCCCACCCAGTCAGAATAATTGAACAAAGCACAGACAAAAATTTTACAGCCACTGACATAATTCAAGATATTTGAAGCTGTTGCATAAGGTGAATATGCAAATTATCTCACATTGGCTGAATACAAATGAAGGCCATATGTCTCTTGTCTTTTTATTTTTTATAAAAGCATGCACTGCATGTTGTAATAACCTCCACTGCACAGCTATGTTTTGCAGTTGGTAATGTGAAAATTGAGAATATCAAGTGAAAAAAAAGTTCAAGGTGTAAACCATATTTATTAAAACACTTAATGCATGTAAAAAAAATTAACATTATAAAAATAAATACTGTTTCATAAATTAGTTTACCAAATTACTATTTTCAATTTTTCATTGCTTACTCTTCTACATAATTGTTTTATGAGATGTTTTTAGATATCTGACAATATTTTAAATTAGTACTTCCCCTTTTTTAATTATGTCGTTTACATAAAACTTACTCAAATAAGCAGCCTTTTCCAAATATATTACAATTGAATAAGAAGGAATGATGCATTATGGTTCTAAAGGATCATAGTTGTCATACACAAATATTTATATACTTTTATATAAATGTACTGCTTGAACAAAATCAAAAATAATATATTTAAAGAAAGATAATGGGTAAGATTGAAAAAACTCTGGTGTGGTCAGGGAAAATATTACTAATCAAAACTAGTGATGATCTTTTTGCTTCTTGTAAGTTTAATCATTACCCAGTAAACTTACATAAATAAAATTGTTATGTTATTTATGTAAGTTTAAATAAACTTAACATTTATGTAAAGTTACACAAATAAATACATAAGAAAGGATGAAAATTGTATATTTGTCCGTCTTTTTAAGTATCTGTCTTCCCTGCTGTTCTTCTTCTTCTTCTTCTTGGATTTATTGGTGGTTGGCAACAAACATTTAGTAGCATTACTGCCACTTACTTAAATATGGAGTGTGGTTTGTGATGGACTATCTACTAATAAACATATATATAATTTCTAAGGAAAAAAAAAGAAAACACACACACAAAAAACACTCTACCGATCTATATCATACATACATTCACCCTCTCTAATAAAATTTTATGAAATAATTTAGTTTTCATTAAAAATCGAATAGGTTTTCGTATGTTTACTTCCTAAATTCTTCTTCAAAATATCTAAAAAATCCATCTTTTCCTTAATACATTCAAATTCTCTCCTCATATATCTTCTTTTTCTTTCATATTTATGACATTCCAGTAACATTTGCCAGTAGTATGCTTTTGAATTTTGAAAAGTGTATAATTAAGTCCTGTATGCCCAAATCTTAACCTTGTTATCACTCTCTCCTACTTTCTATTTCGTCTTCCATTACTTCTTTTTCCTGCTATCTTCTTAATTTTATAAAACCGCCTTCCTGTTTTTCCTTCATCCCACCTTTTTTTGCCATTTTTCTTCCAATTATTTCTTTAATTAATAACTTTAATTAACTCTTTCCCTCCGATTTACTTGGTTTAACTGTAAAACTAATAGGATTTTTTGCTCTCTTGCTTTCTTTGCCATTTTATCTGCCCTATTGTTTCCTTCTACTCCAATATGTGCTGGAACCCACACAAAAACAACAATGAAACCCATATTTTTTATTCTGAATAATTTATGAAATATTTCTAATAGAATGTTAATCCTACTATCTGACTGATTATATTTTAAACTTAATAATGAAGAGCTTGAATCTGAACAAATTACTGTTTTTAATGGTTTTATGTCTTCTACCCATTGTAAAGCTAATAATATTGCCAACATTTTCCCTGTGTATACTGTTAATCCATCTGAAATTCGTTTTCCCATTTTTATATTAAATTCTGGTATTTAAAAAAAAGCTATTCTATGTTTTTCTTCCCTGCTGTTTATAATTGCATTGTCTTTTGTACTGCAGTTCCTGGAGTCCAAGTCTCGCGAGGTTATGGAAAACAATCCAGACGCCTCTTTCCCTCCGCTTCCTCCTCCTCCCTAGCCCTCCCTTCCCACGCCCCAGTGAGCTGTGGGATAGTGGCTCTATAAAGTATACCCTCTCTCGGAGCACGAAAAGAAGCCCGAGACAGGAGGGGGATGAAGATGGCGGACGCCAAGCAGAAAAGGAATGAACAGTTAAAGCGGTGGCTTGGCTCGGAGACGGACCAGGAGCCTCCTGTTCTGAAAAAAAAGAAGACGAAGGTGAAGTTCGATGATGGCGCCGTGTTTCTGGCCGCCTGCTCAAGCGGTGATACAGAGGAGGTGCTCCGTTTGCTTGACCGGGGCGCTGACATCAACTACGCCAATGTAGACGGTCTCACTGCTCTCCACCAGGTTTGTGCTTCATTTCCATTGTTCATAATGTCTGCAATCGGCACAGAAGAGACAGAAATACCCCTTTACTGCGAACAACTGCTTACCCTGGAACACCTGTCAAATGGAAGCCATTCTCATCCCGTTGTTTACCTACAGAGCAGACTCGTCTTTTTCGACGCAGAGAAGGACTACAGCTATTTCATCACCTTATGTACAACATGTATATACATTTTGCGGAAGATACATTACACCTAAACGCTTCCTATTTCGAGCTAATTCCCCTCTTACCTTTTTGAACTAACGCGAGCCTAATGTCATCAAACCTTTGGGTGCAGTCTAATTGCTGTTCTGCTGCATTTCACATTCAAAGCCTACGTTAAACCACATCTATCTCGAGTGTTTATCTTTTTAAGGGAAACTGTCGGTTGCAGATCAAACTATCGAAATTTAAATAAGCAACGTCGTAAGAAAAGGTCATGCTGTCTTGGATCGGGTTCCGCTGGGAAGAGTAGCTACCTGGCTAACAGTAAAAGTGGTTTTGTTGATAAACCCTGAGCCGTGACGGTGGCTACTCTCTGGAGAGTAGAAGCGGCTAGTTTAAGTGTTATGTAACACAAATAGTTCCATAGCTATACTTGAGTTAGAACCTTGTAGTTAACTTTAAAAGTCGTTTTTATATCAAAAACTAGAGTATCACTTTGAAAAAGAATGGATGTGGTGCTAAGCTAGCGCTACATTAGCATGCTAAAATAACTGTCGCTTGCTGCTTTTGGCTAGCTTAATTCATTCATTATCCGAACTTTCGGCTGTTTTACTGATGCTGACTGGCCTTCACAGTAAAACATTTTGAATCGTCACTGTGTTCCAGCTTAAACGGAGACGTGCATGCTATTGATACTTCGATGTTATGAGTGGAATGTCATCCGTGCCAAGCTAACATTTTGCCCGCTAATCACTTGAGCTGTATTCCCTTGCCTCTCTTTGCGCTTGCAGTGCTTTCAGACTTTGCGGTCGACTTAAGCAACCGGATCAGTGAGCATAACCTTGGGAAAAGAATAAAATATAGGATCCACCTTTAGGAACATGGGGTCCAACTTGATCAGTTTGTATGCAGGCATGGCTGCAAGCTTTATTAACATCGAGCAGGGGATGTTGCAGAAGTCTTGCTTATGATTCTTCAGTTGTGAAAATGAGAACTTGAACCATATATTGCTTTTTAAATTTTGAAACACATCATAGGAATGGATTAATTTTGCAGTATTTACTTTTCTATGATTTCCTTCCCATCTGCCTGGCTTTCCTGCAATATTTTAAAATGCTTCTCTTGCAGAGGTGTCAAGTAATGAAGTACAATTACTTTGTTACTGTACTTAAGTACACTTTTTGGGTTTTCATATTTTACTCCATTATTTATTTTTCTTCCTACTTCTGAATTCCACACATTACATTACATTTGACACAAGTATCTATACTTTCTATTCCTTACATTTTTAAAACAAACGTTACTTGTTGCTCTTGGCTTCGGTTTAATGTTTATAAATATTTATTTCACGTCATGTGCACAACCCAATGCAGATCATTGGCGCCATTCACATCTAGTGAGAACTAGTGTGATTGGATGAGTCATATAACGCAAACAGTCATTGGCTAGCTAAAGGAAATCATCAGAAGCAAGCAGGTGTTCTTCAAACTGCAAACATGAATTGTCTATGCCGTGCAACAATGCTGGATTCAGAGAAAGATGTTAAAATGTCTGAAAGGTCAGAGATGGAGACCAACAAGACCTCCCTCATCCTTGGCCCTGTCTCAGAATTTTTCAAAATAGTTGAAAAACTGAGCTTTTAATTTATATAGTGGCATCTGGCAGTTTTTTTTAAATACTTTTATACTGTAAGTAGTTTTTGGAACACATACTTTTTCACTTTTACTTGAGTAAAGAGATCAAGTTGATACTTCAACTTTTACCAGTGTTTTTAAACTGCAGTATCTATACTTCTACTAAGTAACAAATGTGTGTACTTTTGACACCACTTGGCATTTTGTTCTATAATAGTCAGAAACTTGCAGCTTGCTTGACAGCTTCTCAAAAGCTTTTACAAAATGTAAAGGTCCTTCGAGATGGTTCAACAAAACACTATATCAGTTGTTGGTTTATAATCAAGAAGTGTTATTTTCTAATCTGTTTCTCAATTTACTTTAAAATGTGAAAAGATTTAGTGAAGAGTGAAAACACTCCTCACTAGAATTGTGGTATTGCCTTGAAATGTTTGAAAGTTTTCCATCATTAATGTTTTAACCTTGTCCTTGGTTGGACTAACAGTACTTTCATATTTCATTATAGTCAGTCTTATTTATTTATTTTTTGCACATTTACGGTACAGTAGCAGAGGACATTATGTCCTGAGTGGATGTGTATGTAGTTCTGTGGCCAAAAGCAATCAAATAAATAACATTCAGTTCTGTGTGTAGTTACTTTATCACTTCAACTTGCAGCAGCAAACAACCAATTTGTTTGGCACCAGCATTACTGAATTAAAGTGAAATTTTAGCCTCACTAATGGTGACATTTGACATAGTCATTTTACTCATGTTTAAACTATATAGATTTTTTTTTTTTTGCTAACTATATTAATCTGGAAGCCCCCATTTCATGAGCATCAGAAACCATATCTTCTGATTGCAAAGAAGATTGAAAAGAGAGTCCTTTGCACTATTGTCTTTGAAGTGTGCATATTTTTTGGTTGATACAGTTTTGGCAGTTATGCTTATTTAAGTGATCTCAGTGACGAGTTTTCAGTTCAGATTCCTGGTTATTGTTAGCCTCCTAAATATAAACAGAATTGCATTTTGTTCTGTATATTCATGACCCACAACCCTTTGCATGGTTGGCTCATAGAGCTGTATTTTGTCAAAGTATCTGCTACCGATTGTATCAGATTTAATCCACTCTCTAAAAGCCTCTTGTCATGGTTTTCTTGTTTTAGTCGTGTGTCCTCAAATCTACTTGGCAGAGCAGGTTGCACAGATATATAAATAAAAGAAAAAATTGTATTTATCCCCTTTCTGTTCAAAGAGTTTATTTAAATTAAGAACATCTGCGTGATCGGTCCATAAATGAGTCGACCATCTGAATATACTTTCATGCATGTATGAGGTAGTCTTAAAGTCCCATTTTAAAGCTACTTCCTTTTGCAAAGAGCCTCCGGTACATTTTTCTCATTTATGAGTTATAATTCCTAGAATAAAAAAAGGAATCGGTCAAAACCATTTTGCTTGACCACAAGGAAAGTGGAACTTGGCCAGAAAATGCTATATCAGTGCGTCTGTAGGTAATGCCACTACATCAGTTTCATTTTCTTATTTCTTAGTATTTGTTCCCTGTGTGTTCGAGGCAGAGATGCTAGGAGAGATTGGTGCTAGACTGTTGCGAGAGAGTAACCACCTTGATAAAAAGATCCTTCATCTGTCCTTGTATTTCAATAACCTCACTGTATTTTCCTAAAGCTGCCTGTTTTAATCAGGCTTAGCCAGTTGTTATTTTTCTGTAACATTACGAGTTTTTTTTTTCTTCACCATGTGATTCAAATCTTTTCAAACCAAACAATGCAACGTTCCTTATTTTTCCAGCTTTTTGAGTCACAGTGATCCGGTGCTGATAATAGGGTAACTGTATGTTTGGTGCACATTTAGGGAAAATTATGGTCTGCTTGCAGAGAGGAGATTTGTACCGGTGGAGATTTTGGGTTGTAGATGGAATTTAAAGCATTCTGGACTTTGAAATGTTGGAACTTAACCAACATATATTGCATTCAGTATGTTGCACGGTTTTTGTCTCTATCTTTTATCTTTTTTAATATGTTTTACAGTCTGTGAGCAGGGACTTTTTTCAAATGATTCCTGGCTGCATTTTGCTACCAATAAGGTGCCTAATTCTGAAACACTGGGGCTGAGATTTCATTTATAACCTAAGAAATGATTGTTCTCATGATGTCGGAAAGTAAATGAGCCAGAGGTTAACCTAAAAAAAGTTGTAATTTAATATATTGGAAGATGCCATTGAGGATCATTTTGTTGCCCAAATCCAAGGTTTTGATCTTAGCAAGAAGGTGTAAGGGTCATTAAGTTCAAAGGTTTTAGATGTCGGTAAAAGTTGAAGTTGATTTTCAGATTGAAGCCTTTAAGACCTTGTTTTGTATCTTCTCTGTGTTTGGTAATACTGGCTACTACCGTTGCTCCAAATTTGCTTTAGTAAACCTGGAATTGGTAAAGTTATCGGTTGAGATGTCGGCTTCTTTTTATTTACTTTGCCTATGTTCGGGTTGAGTTTGACTGAATTTGCAGTTTATACTGTATGCATAAGCTACAGCATGGTCCCTGTGTTTTAAACCCTGCATGAAAGTTTAACTGTGAGGAATTAGGAAATGAATTTGTGATTTTTTTATTTATTTTTTTAATTAGCTAATTTATTTTTTTATTAGACGCATGAAGAGTTCAGATTAACAAAACTATGACCACGTTTTCTGTGTTTTGCTTTTTTGTTTTGCACAGGTTTCTTGAATATCATTGAGAATAGGGGCTGACCTGCATATTTGTTTCTCTGTCATGTTCACAATGGGTCACTCCTCACTTGCAGTATTGCTGCCATTCTTGGAGACTGGTTGAGGTTTAAAAATACCACCGCAGCCAAGTTGTCCAAACTGGGTTTCAGGATATGATACTAAGTTTGGGTATGACTCAGTCTGTAGCACTGCTTTCCGCTGTAGACCTGGTGTCATCTAGGCAAGAGGTGGTTCTGAGTTGCAGAAAAAGTAAAGGACATATAAACATTTCCATAAACTGTTATTTAGAGTAATGATGATATGTTAATCTACCTATATATATATATATATATATATATATATATATATATATATATATATATATATATATATATATATATATTATTGCTGCAACTAACGATTATTTTTTCGATTAATCGATGAATCGGACGATTATTTTTTTCGATTAATCGATGAATC